GCCTTATTTGACACATTCTGGTCCTTCATAATAGAGTGTAGTGCCCCATTCACTCTATTCCCTGTATTTACTCGTCGTTCTATATCCCTATCATATCTACCATCCCTGCTAAATACACATCCCAAATACACAAACTCATCCACTTGCTCAATTAACTCTCCTTCTATTCTTATTTCACATACCGTTTTGCTTTCATCTCTTTCAAAAACCATCACTTTCGTCTTACTTGCGTTCACTTTCATTCCCCTTTCTTTTAATTCCCAGTTCATTAATGTAACCATCATTTGCAACTCAGCCGCCGATAACGCAAATATGACTTGATCATCGGCATACAAAAGCATTTGACGGTTAACTCGCCCATTCTTAACCCACATTCTTCATATTTCAAAGTTTGCAAACAACTGTCCATAAATAGGTTGAACAGCCAAGGAGAAGCTACACAGCCCTGTCTGACACCTTTATGGATGCCAAACCAGTCCGAGTAGACCCCAATGATCCTAACACAAGCACTAGAGTCCCTATAAAGAGACCTTGATGCCTGTATCAAACGAGCGCTCAACCCATATGAGTTCAGTGTTTGCCATAACACATTCCTGTCCACTCTGTCATAAGCCTTTTCCAAGTCCATGAACGCACAAAAAACTATCTGGTTTTTGGTCAAAAACTTCTCCGCAATCATGCGCATGGAAAAGACTTGATCTGTACACCCCATTCCCTTTCTAAAACCCGCTTGCACATCACAAATTTTTGCTGCTTCAACGGTAGTTTTTACAGTCCTGCTGTGACCCTTTTCCTTTATATATTGGTACTATAACTGCTTTACAGCAGTCTTTCGGTACCCGTTTTAATTCCAAACATATATTAAACAAGGTGTGCAGCAGGCCTGCCACCACTCCCTCTCCAGCCCTTAGCATCTCGAGTGATATATTAAACTAAGTTTGTATAAAAAGGGTTATTATAATATTAAGGAATTTATGGATGATAATAACCCCTGGGAAAGGTGATCGCTACCAAGCTATTTCTAATTTGTCTTGTGTTAATAATTGTAAACATGATTGTAAGCTATTATTTGAAAAAAAAAAATAGTCCCGCTGGTTTTTTTGCTGGTTCTTCCCAGGACAGAGGTTTTTTTGCGAACCAGTGGTAAATGAATAAATTGACTTTCAATAAGTATTGTTTATAATCTACATACATAAACATAAACACTCACGCCTGTCACCCAGAGGGGTAGGCAGAGACTACGGACTTCCATTTAGCACGATCCTGACATACCTTTCTCGCCTCTTCCACATCCATATACCTACGCATACATGCTCGTCGGTTAAGGGTACTCTTAATTTGGCCCATTTTTAGTATATCGCCAATTTGGTCGACAAACTTCCGCCTAGGACGTCCCTTTCCGACTCTTCCGTTCACTTCTGCAACATATATTTGCTTTGTCACTCTTTCCGCATTCATTCTTTCTACATGACCAAACCACCGAAGCATTACTTTCTTAATCCTGGTCACCGCATCATCTTGCAAACCACACTCTTCTTTTATCACACAGTTTCTCACCCTGTCACTCAGATTCAGCCCTAACATACTCCTTAGCGACCGCATTTCTACTGCATTTATTCTACTCTCGTGCTTCTTCTGCCACACCCAACTTTCACTACCATACGTTAAAGTAGGGACTAATACAGCACTGTGAATTGCCATACGTGCCTTTTTTGACACATTCTGACTTTTCACAATAGAGTGTAGAGCCCCATTTACTTTATTTCCTGCATTCACTCGTCGTTCAATATCCTTATCATATCTCCCATCCCTGCTGAATACACATCCCAAATATACGAACTCATCCACTTGCTCAATTAACTCTCCTTCTATTCTTATTTCACATACCGTTTTGCTTTCATCTCTTTCAAAAACCATCACTTTCGTCTTACTTGCGTTCACTTTCATACCCCTTTCTTTTAATGACCTGTTCATTAATGTAACCATCATTTGCAACTCGGCCGCCGACGACGCAAGTATGACTTGATCATAGGCGTACAAAAGGCATTTGATGGTTAACTCACCCATTCTTAACCCGCATTCTTCAACTTTTAAATTTTCCAAACAGCTGTCCATAAATAGGTTGAACAGCCACGGGGAAGCTACACAGCCCTGTCTGACACCTTTATGGATGCCAAACCAGTCCGAGTAGACCCCGTTGATTCTGACACAAGCACTCGAGTCCCTATACAGAGACTTTAATGCCTGTATCAAACCAGCGCTCAACCTAAATGCGTTCAGCGTTTGCCATAACACATCCCTGTCCACTCTGTCATAAGCCTTTTCCAAGTCCATGAACGCACAAAAAACTTTTTGGTTTTTCGCCAAAAACTTCTCCGCGATCATGCGCATGGAAAAGACTTGATCTGTACACCCCATTCCCTTTCTAGATCCCGCTTGCACATCCCAAATTTTTTCATCAGTTTCTTTCATAACTCATTCAATTAGTACCTTAGCATACAGTTTTCCCACAATGCTAAGAAGGCTGATACCACGGTAGTTTTTACAGTCCTGCTGTGACCCTTTTCCCTTATATATTGGGACTATCACGGCTTTGCACCAGTCTCCCGGTACCCGCTTTAGTTCCCAACATAAATTAAACAAGGTGTACAGCAGGCCTGCCACCACGTCCTCTCCAGCCCTTAGCATTTCGGGTGAAACTCTATCATATCCGGCTGCCTTACCTACTTTCATGCTTTTCATTGCTTTCATTATTTCATCTATACTTATCTCCCTATCTCTTTCATCTTCTTTCGGAATTTCTATTTCATTTAGTTCACACTTCTCCTCACTCATAAATTCGCTTTCAAAATATTCCTTCCATCTCTTTAGACTCAACACTTCATCATTCAGAATACAGCCATTCTCGTCTCGTATCGCATTCAATCTAGGCTGTTTAGAATGTCCTGGTATTTCTTACGAGTTTCCAGAACAATTTAATATTTGCCTGGAAGTTATCCGATATTCTTCTATCATTCCTATCCGTTCTTTCTTGCTTTTTCCTTTCAACTAATTCTTTTACTCTCTTATTTAAACGTTTAAACTCTGCCTTTTTTCTTTCATTCTCATCATTCTTACCACCAGAATTACCAGCTTTGGTCGCTAGTAAATCTAGCCATGCTCTCTTCTTTGCTTCAACTTCCATACGTACCTCATCATCCCACCATAACGTATTGTCTTTCCTTTCATTCGTTCTCTTACTAACACCACATACTTCGGTAGCTGCATCCACTAAACCTTTCTTAACATTATGCCACACATTCTCCAAGTCTAACTCATTCACACACAACTCATCCAAATTACTTATATTTTCTCTCAGTCTGCATTTGTACTTGTCTTTCACATCTTCATCTTGTAACCTCTCAATTCTTATACGCTGTAACGCAGTGGTAGACACAGGTGTCCTATGCCGCCTACGTCTGAATAAACCCCTAATTCGGCATAAGACCAGGTAGTGGTCCGTCCCTACATTGGACCCCCGGTAAACCCTTGTATCCACCACTGCGCTCCTCATTCTTTCATCCACAGTTATGAAATCTATCATGCTTCTATCATCACCTCTTTCCCAAGTATACATGTGAATCTTCTTATGACGAAAGAAAGTGTTCGTCACAAAAAGATTCCTTTCCACACATACGGTGAGGAGGCTTTCACCATTCTCATTTATACTTTCATCACCAAACGTTCCCAATATCCTTTCATAACCAAGCCTCCTCACCCCAACCCTTCCATTAAAATCTCTTAGCATAATAATATTTTCATTTCCCTTACACTTCATTAACACCATCCTTACCATTTCCCAAAACTGCTCCCGGATATAAGTGGGCTTATAGACATGTCTGGGGCGTAGACCCCTAACACAAACAACTTCTTTAAGCCCACTTTCATTCGTATCCATAGCAGTCTTGGGCTTACACATTCATACTCTTTCACACATTGACCCATTCTTTCTGAAAGGATGATACCTACTCCCTGGCATGCCCGCTCGATCTCGTCTACACCAGACCAGTATGCGGTATACATGCCATGTGCAGTGACGTCCTTCCCCTTCCTTTTCGTCTCATTTACACATAATACATCTATTCCTCTATCATACATCATATCGCATACTTCATCCATTTTATCATTCATTGCCCCACATACATTCAACGTAGCCAGACGGGCCTCTGCAATCCACTTTTCGCCTCTCTGGGAGACAGAACGTGACGGGTGGCGAACCTCGTCGCCGGTTTACCTCCCGGAGATTCTTCGCACCCCTGCCCCATTAAAGGGGCGCCGGGAACTCGGGGTGTTTATAATCTATATTGAATAAAAAAGTTTCTGTTTCTATTGCAATTAACAATTTCATTGGTTTTAGATAAGTATGTAACGCTATTTCGTATTTGCCTAAAAACCTGTCTTAAAAAATACAATTGCGTGGCATATTTGTCGTGCCAGCCGAGACGTAGCCCGCTCGATCCACAGCCGACATAGCTTTTGTTCTAAATTGCCGGTCTAGTGGTGTACATAGAAGTCTATGGGAGTGGAAGTGAAAAACGTTATCCATGCTAAGTTGTCAAGGTGCTTGGATTAGTGCGTCTTTTACCTGTACCTATATCTCCCATATATTTTTGCGTCCCCATATTAGTTACTGACGCTGCACTGCGTGTGGATCGACCATTATTATTAAAATAGAGTACTATTTTACCTGAAGACCATAATATAATCGGTAGTTGCTCATATACTTTGTGTACCTATTCAAAAATAAACCTAAGGATCTATTATTTTATAGTATAAAAGAAATTTCAACAAATTCATTGTCACTAAACTCTGATACGTGATTTTTTTTTAATTTAAAAAACATTACCTCCACTGTAAGGAACTTCTAGAAGACTTCAAATGTCAATATTTCAAAAGTAGACTTGTGGGTTTTCTTTTTCGTAACAACGTCCAATTTAAAATGAAAGTATATTGTTACGCAGAAGTGGAGCGGTAGCGGAGACGGCAGTACGGGCGGGGCTGCGAAACGTGCGGAAGCTGAAGCGGAAGCGGAGGTGACTGCACCCGCTCAGGACGATTCCACCGCCACCACTGTAAGACATTTAACAACTGTTATAGCGCTTTAACTGGAAACCGTTGTAAATTACTTAGACAGTGTATATGTAAAACATTGGATGCAGACAGTTCTGCCAGTGATCAACTAATATTAACCGTAGTTTCTAAGATTTTATATTTGGTGGCTAACACCCATATGGATATTAATTCTGACATAAAAATATAATTGTTATTATACAATATATGTTGACTATACAATTTTACGCAACTGCTTCACTCGAAAAATACCTGACAAGTCACTGTATATTCTGAATTGTATAATAAAATTTATGAAAATTTTATACTACTGTTGCGCGCCATAAATACTTGGTACATGGCGGGTTATTATTAGCGCCATCTAGTATCAAGTAGCAGAAATCGCAGCGTTGAGATCTTTCTTGCAATTTACTAGCTCAATTTATTATAGAGTAGCAGAACTAAGAGTTTGTAAGTTTTAATTGGTGTTCGGCAATTAAAGTGTCAATTTTGGTAACTCAATCGGCAATTTTTATTGTCACGAACCCTAAACTCGTAACACTATTATTATATAATACTAGCGATCCGACTCTGCATCGCACAGGTGATTTTTTCTAATAAAAACATCAAAATCTGTACAGTTGTTTAGTTAAATAACAAAAAAACACATTACATCTTGCTATCTTGACTACAATGACATTTTCAGTTCAATAAACCAAGGAGGTCAATATTCTGCAACAAACAATAAAAACAAATTACTCATTGCTAAATTATCCCACATACATACATACATATATATATATATATATATATATATATATATATATATATATATATATATATATATATAATATACTTGCTTGCCAGGCAGATGTTGTTCTGTTCCTTTTCGACGACCCTTTATCATGTCCTATTAAAAATCCTTAAATTAGAAAAATATTGAGGATCAGTCATGGGCAAAAAAAAACTATCCCATCTCTCAAGTTGGACCAACCTGCACACGGTGTGCAAATTTGATTAAAATCGGTTAAGTAGTTTAGGAGTCCATCGCGGACAAACAACGTGACACGTAATTTATATATATTAAGATATATATATATATATATATATATATATTAGAAGATATAGTTAGAATGTGGGGTGAGACCCTGGTGAAACCCCCCCTGTTTGACCTCACCCAAACTTTTCAACTTTTTGCATTACATTAATGCACTGGTAGAGGAGCTCAGCAGTATTCATGTTGGCTGCCATATTGCTTATATGTTTGCATAACATTGCTACGCGGACGATATGGTGCTGCTGAGTGCCTCTATTTGTGGTCTAAGTGAGTTGCTAGGCATCTGTGAGAAATATACTATTAGTTACGGACTAAAATACAATGTAAGCAAAAGTGAATATAATATGATCTTTCAGGCCAGAAACAAAAGTCCACTTAGCAAACCTCCTATTAAACTGAATGGAATCCCTCTGAAGGGAGTAGAACATTTTAAATGTCCTGGATATTTGGTACTCTGACCTGAGGGACAATTTAGGTATTAATAGAGAGCTCAGGTCGTTGTCTGTAGGAGCTAACATGATAGCTCGCAGGTTTGCTCTGTCCAGGAATCTGGAACTGGTACTGCCTTATACTTGCCGGTAGAAAGAAATAAGTTCTGTCGCTAAATAAGTGCACTGCCAACAATTACTGTTGTGTTCTAATTTGTAGAGAAACAGTATAGTTGCAGACAGTAAAGTATTTTTATTTACAAAACAAGTCCCGCTGAACTTCTTGCTGGTAAAAATTTCTACCTCAAGGGTGACGACAACGCAAGTTTGACTTAATTTTTTTGAAGGTTGATTGCTTCTTAGTCCAGTCAAATTAGCGATCAACCTCGGAATAAGAGATAATAAACTGAATTCTCGTATATACCTTTATTTTGGCGTTCTAAAAGTTGTTTCAAACTCTCATGAAATGTCGTTTCTGTGTTGGTAAGTTAATCAAGGTCAAAGATTAAGCGCTGCGCGCTCACTGCCCTCTATCGCAAAAACAGTTGGCTGTGTTAGATTTATTAAAATGTAGAGTCGAAAATGTTTCCAATGAAATTTATCGCAAGTTTGATGTACCATAATTTTTATAATATCTGATAACATCATTGGAGCAATGGAAACCGAGATCTTGAAAACCTGTTTTTTTTTTCGTTAACCTTAAATAACTTACGACGCGGACACGAGATTTCATGTGATTTTTGAGATAACTCAAGAGTGCCAAAATAAAGGTATATACGAAATTTCAGCTTATTATCTCTCATCTAAGGTTGACCCCTTTTTTATGCTAAAGTGACTGCACTATGTATTGCGGAACTGGACTGACTGACTGACTCTTACTGAACCGGAGATTGTTTGTTATATTTTAACAATAAATTTGATATTATAATAAAAATAAAATAATTGTAAAAAACTAGTAAAATATCATAGAAATAGTGCTTTTAATTCCTAATATGTTAGAAAACATCGGTATTAATGTGTATTACTAAAATAAGCCATTTTTTTCACAGGACAAGGATTCAGGTGTGGATTCAAAGACTGAAGAGATCCTGCATAATAATGAACAGCCTGACTTTAACCTTGATGAGTTCCTCAAATTTGACTCCATTCCAGACGTGCTTACAGTAAGTTTGCTTGCAGTCTACAAAATACTGAAAGAAAAAATATATTTTTATATACCCCTCCCAGTTAGAGCCTATAAAAAATTCCACTACTGAAGTTAGGCCGCCATATTGTCTCATGGCGGGGATATTTGCTACCGCTGTGCCGCGCGGCAGTGAGCAGCAGATGCTACCAAGCGACCGCGGTTTCTGCTTAGTTGGTTATTATTGGGACGCTACTGGGCTGTTAATTTTATTGTGCGTTCTCTTCTGTTGCCGCTTGCTCGTAGGACCATGTAGGCTAGTGGATTTTCATATAATTTTATTCATGGGCTAAGTGCTTGTCGTTATTTTCTTAGTGTAGGCAACCCGAGTTTGAACCTCGCTAAAATTGTTATTTTCGTTATTAAGTACTGATTTACCACACGCTCTGTAGTAAAGGAAAACACACAACTACTACACTATTAGTAGTACTATTTTATAACTGCTAGACTGACATGTGCATTGCCTTAAGGCCTCTGCCTCGAATCTTGCGGGCAGCGGGACGGCAGCGGCGGCGGCGCGGGAGCGGCAGGATCTTATGCGTAAAATCAAATGGACCGACTCTCGAAAACAGCGGCTTGGCAGCGGCGCGGGGGCGGGTAACGAGCGGTGTACTCCAGTCAAGCGGTGACCGCCCGCACGTCTACATTGCAGTGTTGTGCAATTAATTTTTGTGACGTTTCGAAATGTCCTCGGACGTGCAAGAGCAAATTATTTCAGCAATTTTTGAGAGAACACCGATATGGAACAGCAAAGATGTGAACCATAAAAATAGAAGAGTAAATAACCAGTTATGGGAAGAAATTAAAAACGAACTGAATCTAAATCGCCCTTGATAGCTTCAAGAATATAGTCAAAAGTTTCTATGCTCATTCTGGTGTAGTCGTAGAATTTGTCGGGACATTGTCTCTGTTCTTCGTAATTTCGATAAAACTCGGCTTTTTTTTCCTTGCCCTATAAGTAGTAGGGATTCACTTCTTCTTTTGCCCACAGTAAATTGAGCGTTAGAAATAAATTTGAATCAAAAAGATGTTGTCGCCGTTGTTCAGACAACACACCATGAACACATCACTACGCCGCTATAGTGTCGCGCGATCTGCCCGCTAGTTTCGTGAACGGGTCTGCGTTGCCCGCCCCGCTCCCCCGCCGCCGTCGCCGTCGCTCCGCTGCCCGCAAGATTCGAGGCAGAGGCCTAACATGTGATCTGATTTACTGTGGTTGATACCCACGAGTTAAGCATGCTTAGTGTGGGAGATACAGGCGTACAAATAAACAATACGGTATAACACCCATTTTCAAATAGTGTTTTAAATGAATCCTAGAGTGATAATGAACCCACTATATTTTTATTTATTTTTTTTTAAACCGAAAAATGCCATAAAAATTACTTTTAATTAATCGTTTTAAATTTTCGCGGAAAACGATAGTCGCCATGTTGCCAAGCTCCGTGACGTCACTGTCATAGGATTTCCGCCGATTTTGCAAAGGAATAAGTTATTGTTAGATGTTTAATAATGAGTTATCATCTTTATCACTGGTGTGTTGTGCCTGAGTGCAAAAATACGAACATAAGAATGCCGGGGAAGTTATCGATTGAAGTACCTTTTAATAATAATATTTAAATATATAAAAATAATAAGCTTTTAAATATGAGAAATGCTTATTTAAAACCGGCAAGAAGATACCCGAATATACATTGTCTACAAAAACTGGACTATACTTCTGTGAAGATCATTTTTGATGTAAGTATGGCTTATATTTAACTGTCGTTTATCAAAATAACATGATGTGATAGGTATTGTAAGGAAAATTTTTACGTTATCTTAAATATTGTAACTTATGATTGCTTATGATTGTAATTATAGATAATCATAACTATCTATTATCAAAATATACTCTGACCTGGTATTGCGTTATTGTATAAACAAAAACTGGTAATAGGTACTTACATTGATTTTTTAACATTACTCAACTTGGCAGAACAAAAATCGGGCATGCATTCAAAAAATTTTGCCACTATCAATGTATGTAGATTAATACTTTCTGCTTTTACGAATCCGTCTTCCATAATGCCTTCTCAATAAAATTCGGAATAAAACTCAATCGTAATGACTACTTGAAAAGTTTCGAAATAACACAAAACACATTAGCTAGTTAACTTAACCAGTTACGTCACGATGGTATATAATATGGAGATTTGAGGTACAGATAAAAAAACTTATTCTTAATAGTAAATTATAAAATTTATAATGTATTTTTATGAATAGAAATCAATATATCTTGTTTGCTTTTTAGAAAACCTATCATTAATATATATTTTTGGTTTGTTTTTTACATGGTGTAAAATACCCTATTGTTAAGTCTGATAATGATGAATTAAAATTGTGTATTTACTCTGCATTTGGAAATGAATAAATTTTGTATTTGTTCATTTGTAGTGAAGCTTATGTGCGTCTACATACAGGAGCAGCGTGATGGAGTAATTGCTCTATAATATTCTAAGAAATTAGTGGAGGCTGTTTGCCCAGCAGTGGGACGTATGCATACACCACTACATTTTTTGTATATGATATGGGTCAGTCGAGTGAAGTGAGGGTGTTGTGTGCGTGCAGAACGGCGGCAGCGGAGGTGCGGAAGGTGGCAGCCAGCAGCACAGCCGCTTCAGCCAGTGGTTCCGGCGCGACAGCCCCGACACGCACCACTACGATGCCATGCTGCACCACGTGCTCGACGGTACCGTGCCACATTACAACGCATCACACCACACCACACCACACGACGCCACACCACGCCAAAAGTCCTCCCGTCAAAAAGATATAATATACTAGACTGTTAGACAAAAACTGAGTCCTATCAGTGTTTTTGCCCAAGAGTGTGAATAGGTGCCGCCCTCCATACATACGGGTAGAAGGGTATGGAGAGCCAGTATAATTACATGCTGTGAGAAACTTAAGCTTTGTGCTCAGTGGTGACACCATATCTGTAGCCTTCTTAGTTTGAAGTTGGTTTTAAGGGTAAACAGGTTGCTGTTACCATCTTACCATCAGTTTCAAGGCACTCCCCTTGTTGCCTCAGCCAGTATCGGAATCCTCGGCGTCGACATATCGAGTGACGTGCAGTTTCGTGGTCACTTGGAAGGGAAGGCCAAATTGGCCTCTAAAAAGCTTGGCGTGCTCAGCAGAGCGGGACAGTATTTCATGCCGGCACACCGCCTGCAACTTTACAAGGCGCAGGTTCGGCCGCTCATGGAATACTGTTCCCATCTCTGGGCTGGGGCTCCCCAGTACCAGCTCCTTCCACTTGACCGCATCCAGCGCAGAGCGGCTCGAATCATCGACGACCGAGTGCTTTCCGATCGGCTCGATTCACTGGCGCTGCGAAGAGATGTTGCATCTCTTTGCGTATTTTATCGCATCTATCACGGGGAGTGCTCTGAGGAATTGTTCGGATTAATCCCAGCCGCCAAATTTCGTGAACGCACTACACGTCAAACGTCCCGATACCATCCACACCATCTGGATGCTTGGCGGTCCACCACTGTACGTTTCAAAAGGAGTTTTCTTCCGCGTACAACCTCTTTATGGAATAATTTACCACCAGCGATTTTTCCGGACCGATACGACCTGGGGACCTTCAAGAAAAGAGCTTACTCCTTTCTAAAGGGCCGGCAACGCACCTGCAATTCCCCTGGTGTTGCGGTTGATCATGGGCGGTGGTAGTCACTTAACATCAGGTGAGCCACATGCTCGTTTGCCCCCTCTTTTATAAAAAAAAAAACCATCTTACCATCAGGTAGAATGTAAGTTGTTCTATCCATTACACTCTATAAAATTATACCGCTAGACATACTCCTCCCATAGATGGCCTCATAGGGAGGATATTTGCCATATTTGGCCAGCGGATAGTGCATCGCAGTTTTTATTGTTTTGACTTGTTATCAGAATCATACTGCCGGCCATCTTTCTGATAACAACTCAAAATTCCCTCTTACGGCGACCGCAGTAGGATATTAGTCTACAATATTATTAACAAAACTATAGTACAAGAAGAGAAAGAATGAGTGAGGAAAGAGTGACAAAGCAAATTTATATGGCAGATGTGAACGGCAGAGTCTGGAAGGGACGCCCTAGAAAAAAGTTTATCGACCAAATTGGTGATATGTTGAAAATGGGCCACGTTAGAAGTACCCTTAACCGACGAGCATTAGATATATGGATGTAAAGGAGGCGAAAGAGGTATGTCAGGATCGTGCCAAATGGAAGTCCGTAGTTTCTGCCTTACTCTCTGGGTGACAGGCGTGAGTGTTTATGTTATGTTATGTTTAGTACAAGATGTAAAATCTTTGAATACCTTCTTCACTTGTGTTTATTGATTCGAGGCTTATATTTAGAGGCTTTTCCGATGATATTCCGGACGTCAGTCTGAACGAGATTAGAATAGCTCTCCAGTACTTTAAAAACGGCAGATCCCCAGGTGAGGATGGAATTACAGCGGAACTTCTGAAAGTGGCTGGAAAACCGAAAAGTTCTTCAGAAGCTCTTTAATTCCGTCCTCTTGTCTGGTCTTGTTCTTCAAGAAAGGCGACAACGCTCTCTTGAAGAACTACAGACCGGTATTCTTTCTGAGCCGCGTCTACGTGCTATTTTCGAGAAGCATTACGAATCGTCTCGCATGCAGACTCGACGACTTCCAGTCTCCCGAACAAGCTGGTTTCCGATAAGGCTTTAGCACCATTACCCCCCATTAGATGGAGTGATAACCTGGGGACCTAGAAGTCAATGAATGCAGTTGGCTCGGGCCGTGCTTTGTGTCGTCATTTGGGGGAGGCCTATGTTCAGCAGTGAACTTGTGAAGGGCTGTAATGATGATGAATAATGATTTAGAGGCTTCAAGGTTTTTTTTCTATACTTAGTAGATTCATGCTGCAGGCATATTATTATGGTTGTTATTATATTGTGCACGAATGGGTCGGCTCGACCATGGTAGAACTACGCTCTCACAGAATACCAGCGTAAAATTACAGCTGAACGCTGCTGTGTTTCGTGTGGTGAGTGTAGACAACCGGAGGCCCTTTTCACTAGAAACGAGGCATTCCATCTCAGTCCTCACGGGTGACAACGCATCTGCATATTGATTTTTAATTGAGGATAGATTTAAATGTCTGTGGCGACAGCATCCACTTACAGTTAGTAACACCTATTCTACAACAACATGTATACATGTGCAGAGAGCGATTCTGGTGTGGAGTCGCGGCATGGGTTCGCGCCGATCTCTCCGCCTGCTCCGCACCAGCAGCACCAGCAACCCCAGCAGCCTCACCAGCCGCAGCAGCCCCAACAGCCCCAGCAGCCGCACCAGCCGTTCTCGTTACTCGATCTCATGTTCCGCAGCAACCACAAAACTAGAGGTAGAGTAGCAAACAGAAGCGACAGTAGCCTAATAATAATAGTACAGACCGCAAATTCAAAAGTTCTAAACTGCTATCCGAATCCTGTTGTGAACTACTTGTAAAAAATACTTTTCACGCTATCAGGAGTGGTAGAAGATAATATTAGTAGTGTTAATAGAATTAGGAGTATTAAAAAAAAAAGTAAAAAATATATTAAAATAAAAACTATACGCGAGGTCATTCGGCGAGCTCCGGAGAGGACTTGCTCGGAGTTTCTCTGCGTGATGGATTTCGTAATGAAGATATCTGCATTAGAACCAGAGTAACCGACATAGCCCTACAAGTCGGTACGCTGAAGTGAAAATTGGTCATATAACTTGAGCTGCTTAAGTCAGGCCATTGATTTTTTAATATATTTGTCTTCGGACTGGTTTCAGAAACTATTGAGGAAATTATATTATTTTTTTGAATTTTTTTTCAAGTTCTTCGAAATTGGTCTTAAATTTTTATCCAAAGTTAAGACCGTAGTCCTTGAACGTTTGAAATTTGTTACAGAATTGATATTTTCTAGTCACACAGACGCATCGCGCATAATTAATACTCTGGATACGAATAAATTACTTTTGATCTTCGCACAAGTTACTTATTCATCACGCGTTCATCTTCGCGGGATGTTCATAAATGTCACGAATAATACTAATTGTGTGTAGCCGTTTGCAATTTATTCTGTGCTATTTGCTTGTCACAGCGAAGTCCGCGGGCCCGTAGTGAGTAGCTGACAGCAAAGTGATCTCATCATAGAACACTATAATACATAAATAATATAACGGATGGGTGGGTGGAGCCCGTGTAGCCACTAACGTGTCAATTCACACCCATAAATGTCAACAATCGTTTTCAATTCTCATGTCAAGTGTCGCTGCATGCATATTATTTGAAAAATGGCAAATTGTGCAATAATTACGTGTCGAAGAACAGCGGAAAATGGAATTTTTTTAATAGGAAAAGGGTGACAAACGAGCACACAGTCCACCTGATGGTATGTGGATGCTGTGGCCCATAGACATCCATATTCGATTAAGAATTAAAATGCAGATGCGTTGTCACCACTGAGGACTAAGATGGAATGCCTCGATCCCAGTGAAACGGGTCTCCGGATCTCTACACTCACCATACGAAACACAGCAGCAATAAGCTGCTATTTTACGCTGGTTTTCTTGGAATTTTAATAAAGGAGACATATCCTACAACCAGTAAGTCGAAACTATTTATATTTTGTAAATATTAAAAACAAAATTATAGAAATATTGATGTGTCAAAAACATTAATCAAAAGTCTTAAATGTGTAAACTCGCTCAATTTGTCAATACAGCGAATCGGGTTTGTAGTAGTGATAATACGACGTAATTGCTTGTATGTGTTTTTTTATAGGATAGGATGACAAACGAGCGCACAGTCCTCCTGATGGTAAGTGGTTGCTGTGGCCCATAGACATCTACATCTATCCTCGATTACGAATCAAAATGCAGATGCGTTGTCATCCGTGAGGACTTAGGTGGAATGCCTCGTTTCCAGTAAAAGGGGTATCCGGTTCTTTACACTCACCATATGAAACACAGCAGCATTAAGCTACTATTTGACGCTGGTATTCTGTGAGAGCGTGGTCCTTCCCCGGTCGAGCCGACCATTCGTGCTACAACTATACTACTAATAGCAGCATGGCTCTACCACGTAATGTGTGTGTTTCGGCGACACCGATCCTCGTACAAAATAAGGTTGACAGCCATTCTATTGTGTATTATAGTATTCTATTGGTCAGTGTGTACACTTTATAGGTATTATGTTAAATATTATTTTTTATTTATAAAGAAATAAAAAATATTATCAATGATATGCGTGAAATGGAAAATGTGAGTTTTATAAATTATTTTTACTAATAAATAAAGGTTAACGCAGATTAAAATATTCACAGTGGTTTGAACAATTTATACAGCATGTAACAAGCAACTCGTTGGTCGTTTCAGAGACGTATAGGTGTACACATAGGCGTGGCAATTATGATAATGAATTATTTTTTTGGTTGCTATAAATGGGAGTTTAGAGTTTTTAATCAGGTAACTTACTAAATTGAATATTTCTAGAAATGTTATTTGCATGTGAACTAACCGACGCGTGCCGACATACGTAGGGCTGCCGCAGCAATTGTTCAAAGCTGCCGCCGAGCGGCGCGCGCGCCTAAGGATTTTGTGTGAATAGTTTCATGTTTATACAGTTCTTTAAATTTAAAAATTGAAATAATAATGCAAATATTTTTAATGAAATCCATATCCCTACTTGAATACCTAATAATATTTAATATGTTCATCATCATTACAGCCCTTCACAAGTCCACTGCCGAACATAAGCCTCCCCCAAGTAATGCCACAAAGCACGGTCCTGAGCCACCTGCATCCATCGACTTCCCGCCAGCCAGGTCGTCACTACGCATACCGGTACGAGGCTGCCGCTCCAGAACCTTTTTCCCCCCCCATCAGCTATTCGGTTCTTCAAGCCATATGGCCGGCTCATTACCACTTCACCTTACTAATCCGTTGGACTATGTCGGTTACTCTGGTTCTACTGCGGATATCCTCATTTCTAAGTTTATCACGCAAAGAAACAAGCCGCCATACGATAGCCAAAGCGAAAAAAAACCGTAGGTCTTACTAGCAAGATGACAAATATTTTGACACAACAAGAGGCACCGGCGGCGCCAAGCATCGGAACAACACCAAGGGATGCGGTGGCTAGAAAGGAGTACGTTTTTGGAAGGCCCCACGGCGCCAGAAAAAACTGGTGGAAATAAAAGGTTGTACGCGGAAGAAAACTCCTCTTGAAACGTACAGTGGTGGACCGCCAAGCATCCAGATGGTGTGGATGGTATCGGGACGTTTGCCGCGTAGTGCGTTCACGAAATTTGGCGGCTGGGATTAATCCGAACAATTCCTCAGAGCACTCTCCATGGTATATGCGAAAGAAAATGCAAAGAGATGCAACATCTCTTCGCAGTTCCAGTGAATCGAGCCGATCGGAAAACACTCGGTCGTCGACGATTCGAGCCGCTCTGCACTGGATGCGGTCAAGTGGAAGGAGCTGGTACTGGGGAGCCCCAGCCCAGAGATGGGAACAGTATTCCATGTGCGGCCGAACCTGCGCCTTGTAAAGTTGCAGGCGGTGTGCCGGCATGAAATACTGTCCCGCTGCCACGCGGCTGAAGCACGCCAAGCTTTTTAGAGGCCAATTTGGCCTTCTCTTCCAAGTGACCACGAAACTGCACGTCACTCGATATGTCGACGCCGAGGATTCCGATACTGGCTGAGGCAACAAGGGGAGTGCCTTGAAACTGAGGAGATACGACAAAGGGGTTCTTTTTAGCGGTTAACGCGCAAACTTGTGTCTTCTGGGGGTTAAACTGGACTAGATTTAGTCGCCCCCAATCCGAGACTCTGTTCAGCAAAGACTCGACTTCAGACACAAGTTTGTCCCGGCACTCGGAGACGTTTTCCCGAGAAATATTGGCTCGGCTGGTGTAAAGAGCATCACCAGTGCTGTCATCTGCATAGCAATGAATGTTACGGGCTTGCAACATATCATTGATATGCAGAAGAAACAGCGTTGGCGATAGCACGCAGCCTTGTGGAACACCAGCAGCAGCTGTGTGAACTGCACTTCCGGCATGGAGCACTCACACCGCGGGATGGTCGGCGGCGTACTCCCCCCGTCATCGAGAGTCGAGTTGGACGCAAAGAAAGAGCCTAGAAGATCGGCTTTCTCCTTTGCGGTATGGGCCAGTGAGTCGTCCTCCCTGTGCAGAGATGGAAAAGATGGCTGACAGAAATTCCCCTGGACAGCCTTGGCGAGAGACCAGAATGCACGGGATCCAGAAGGAAGGCGAACTAGTTTCTCGCCAATTCTGCCTATGTGCTCTGACTTTGCCTTGGCAATGACTCTTTTGAAGGACCTAGAGGCGGAATTATACTTCTTTTTTAGAGCGCTGGTGTTTACATCCCGGGACGCTGGTGCGTCAGCCCAGGCTTGGTAGCACTCCTGCTTATAGCATGATGCTATTTTACAGGAGCGACCAAACCATGGCTGAGACTTGCCTCCAATGGGCACCACAGAGGAAGGAATAAAAAGTTCCATACCCTGAAGTACCACATCAGCGACAGAATCCGCAACAACGTTGGGATCGTCCGGCGAGAAGCAAACCCGCCCCCAAGGGTAGGATGCAAAGAAAGACCGCATCCCATCCCAATCGGCTGACCTATAGTGCCAAACACGGCGGCAGCCTGCAGATTGCAACTACGATTTCAGCGTGAGTGGCACCACACTCAGAACAAGACAATGGTCCGAGGAGCCTAAAGGGGCGTCGGCGGAAATCTGATATCCGTCCGGGTGAGAGGTCAACAGAAGGTCCAACAGGGAAGGTGCATGATCCTCCACATCTGGAATCCGCGTAGGCGAAGTAACTAGTTGGGTCAGACCATATGCCAAGGCAAAATCATGAACAGATCTCCCCGCATGATCGGTTAAACGTGAACCAAGCCATTCGGCGTGATGGGCGTTAAAGTCGCCGAGGATCACGATCTCTGCGGAGGGGATCTTCTGTAGCAACGAATCTGTAGCCATTTGGACGAGGTCGAAGAGTAGGTTTGTTTCGGCATTACCGCTATGAGACCTATAGAGGCACCCGTAGACGCGCGGATGGTCGTCGCTGTCTACGCGTAGCTAAAGGATGGACAGGTCCGAACCTTCAAGTCTGCCGAAGCGTCGAGAACAGATGTCCTCTCCGACGTAAACGCAAACTCCAGCCCGAGGCACAAAGGAGTGTTCCAGTTTGTACCCAGGGTAGGAGAGATACGAGACATCAGCCGGAGAGGACACCTGCGTCTCGGTCAGAAAGAGCAAAGCCGGCCTCGCCGTCTCGAGATGGTAGTGGACGGCGTTTAGGTTAGAGTCAAGTCCCCTGATATTGCAGAAATTCACGGACAGCGTGGCAGTGGTCACCTTGGTCTCGTTGCTCCGTTTGCCCCGAGCAGTTGTAGTCTTGAACGGAATTTTGCCCCCCCCCCAGAATACGCGGGGCAGCCTGAGCACCCACGCTCAGAAGTGGAGAAGCATGGTCGTGGCTGGGCAGCGCGGGATTCGCCAAGGGTGCGGGTACCCTCCTGGGGTAGTCTATCATTATTTAATTCCGCTACCATGTTGATGGGGGGGGGGGATTTGGGCCTCCGGACACCTCCACTCAACAGATGAAACGCGGAAGCAGAGCTTCCACTTCACGCCGGTATTCTGTGAGGTCGTGGTACCACCCCGGTTTGAGCCGGCCCATACGTGCAACAGCAAAGCTGCCGCGTGGCTCTGCCACTGTTAAAATGCAACTTCGAGCATAGTGCTCCCAACAACTACTGGCATAGGTGTAACATGGACATTAAACATGATCTTTGTTTTGTCCATGTTCATCTTAAGACCTATCCGTTAGGAGACACCATTGAGGTCATTGAGCATAGTGCTAAGGTCCTCCAGCGATTCTGCCATTACGACTATATCGTCGGCAAATCAAAGGTGAGTTATGTACTCACCATTGATGGTAATACTGTATTAATTCTTTCCAGACTAGTAACTTGAAAACGTCTTCCAATGCACCGGTGAAGAGTTTCGGGGATATAACATCACCCTGTCTTACACCTCTCTGCAGTTGGATAGGTTTCGTGCTCTGGTTTTCTAAATTCTGATAGCCATCGTAGCCCTACTGTACAAACACTTCAGTACATCGATATAACGACAGTCAACTTAGCACCGCTGAAGGGACTGTAACACCATCCAAATTTCGACGGAATCAACGGCTTTTTCATCGTCCACATACGCAAGGCAAAATGGCAGAATGTACTCTTCGATATTCTGTACAATTTGCCGCAGAGTATCTATGTTGTCTATAGTTGAAGCCTTTTCGGAAACTGGCTTGTTAGGAGGCTGAAAGTCGAATCTGCGTGCGACACGATTCGTAATGACTCTCGAAAACAGTAAGTAGACGCGGCTCAGAGGGGAAATCGGTCTGTAGGTCTTCAGGAGAGCATTGTCGTGTTTCTTGAAGAAGAAGATCACCGCATTTCTGCTCCAACCTCCAGAGTAGTGCCACCATTAAAGACGGAATTTAAGAGCTTCTGAAGGACTTTAAGTACCGGGTTTGCACCCGCTTTCAGAAGCTCCGCTGTAATATCGTCCTTGCCTGAGGACTTGCCGTTTTTAATGTGCTGGAGAACCATTCTAATCTCGTGTCGTTCTCACCGTTTTTTTTGTCAATAACTTTTAAATAAAATATATAATAAAATGTTTGATTAATCAACTCCAGACATCAGAATCACTTATTTACTTAAAAAAAACTGCGTCGAATGCCGCCTAGCTTAAAATTGAAGAACGTGTTAAATTATTATTGCCATTTAAACATTTCTAAATAATTATTTTTTATGAGATAATTTTTATGTTCTTTGATTTATAGACTCAAGGCCTTATAGACAATTTTTATACTTAAAAACAGCTTCAAATGCCGTCAATCAAATCAAAATCGTTAGACGCGTTCAAAAATTATAGCCCTGTAAACATCTCAAATAATCATTTCAAGCTCAAAAATGAAATAGATTTTCGAACAATGCGCTCCAAAATAAGGCGGGAAATTCCAGGGATGGCCTGCAGGGACAACCGTTTTGCAGATTTTTCTTATAGAATAAGGGAGACAAACGAGCACATATTCCAGGTGGTGGTAAGTGGATGCTGAGGCCCATATAGAAATGTAGGTACATCTATCATTGATTACGAATCAAAGTGTAGTGGAGACAGCTTATATGTAAAAACTTAACAAAGATACAAAACATCCAAATAAATACTGTTTCGTATGGGACTCGAATTCTTGATTTTCAGCCGGCCGTTAAAGGTATACCTAATTGTGATATGTTGTAAATGTCAATGTGATATGTGGTTCCAGAAGCGAGTGCGGGTGCAGGGGCAGGGTCGGGGTCGGGCGGCAAGATGCACAGCCTGGAGGAGCTGGAGGCGCGCCTGCGCCCGCAGTCTTCTGCCTCGCACCACGGCGTCTCGGAACATGACCTCACCGCCTTCAAACGACTCGTTAGTACATGGTACAATACTATTGACTGCGGGACGACGTTGGGGGGCAAGATGCACAGCCTGGGGGAGCTTTACGTTTGTTTTTTTAGGTTAACAGTCTTTTTACGTTTAAACTATTCACAAAATTTGTTTAAGAATCATAAATGTGAAGGTTTTGCCAAAGCGTTATCTGAAGAATTATTTTTGCCAATGTAGAAAGAATAGCAGATTTTCTTGTTTTATACTATATAGTCACAATTTTTTTTTTTGCAAATTGAGTCGAATTTTTCCCTCTTTTGTCAAAACTTCTGAATGTATCGAATTTCTTCGTTAGATTCACTTATTGTGGCGTACAGAGAAAAACAATTGAAAAATGGCGGTAAAGTGTTTTTTTACTTTTTATTTTTCTTTTCCTTAATGTCCTTTATGTATTGGCGTTAAAACCAGCCAGATACAAACAGTACAACCAAAGAGATTTTTCTTGAATTTTATACGAAAAAAATGCGACGAAAGTTTTTGACAGAGTTATTATAATGGAGTGTTATGTGGTACATTGTAGCTGGCGCAAGTATCCGGCGGGCAGGCGGTGGCGGCGGAGTCACGAGCCCCCGCGCCGCCCCCGCACCCTACGCAGCCCGCGCCCCCGCAGCATGCGCAACCACCGCACCAGCACCAGCCCCCGCAGCCCATGAGCTTGCTGCAGGTAACTATAGAGCTGTTGGTGAGAAATTTCTTTTTACGTGGTAGAACCATGCTGCTGCTATATTAGTAGTAAAATTGTAGCACGAATGAGTCTGCTAGACCGGAGTGGACCACACTCTCACAGACTACCAGCGTGTAACAGCAGCTTAACGCTGCTGTGTAACGTATGGTTAGTGTAGACAGCCAGAGACCCTTTTTAATGGAAACAAGGCATTTCATCTTGGTCTAATTATTGTTTTGTTCTTTACATAACTTTCAGTGAACTACGGTTTGTCTTGTGCATTAAAAAACAACAATACACAATAATGTTCTCGCTTTATAAAAAATATAATATCCTGTTTATCTCTGCCTGAAATAAACAGTCGCCTAACCAAGGTTCTAATGAGACTGAACAAGCCACAGATCAGGATAGTAACAAGTGCTATCACAGGACATGGCTCTTTTAACAAACATTTGTTTAACATAGGTGTTACTGACAGCCCCCTGTGCAGGGCATGTGTGGGGGAGGAAGAAACTGCTGCTCACGTATTGCTGACGTGTACGGAGGTCGCTTCATACAGGGCTAAATATTTCGGCACGCCGGGATTGCTCCCCGAAGTTGCTTGTAACATCAAGGGACTGTTGAACTTTGGGGAGATTTCATGTCTCGAATAATCATATTATTCCTGCCCACACGCAAAATACGCGCTTAGTTGTGGAGTAGGGGAGAACAACTCGTCGTAAACTAAACTAAACCCTGTTTATCTATTTAAGAGTGTCCGTCTCATACATTTCTGTCCATTTGCAGATGCTGAGCAAAAGCATGGAACAGCAGCAGCAACAACAACAGCAGCAGCAGCAGCAGCAGCAAAAGGCGCAGCAACAGCAGCAGCAGCAGCAGCCCCCGCACATTCCCCAGGAGCTCCTATACAAGCTTCTGCAAGTGCAGCAGGTATTTAAGTACTGTATGCATTGACCTCTCCCCGGTCGTGTCTCATTTCCAATGATTTTGTTACACCTAAGACAGTACAATGTACCATCTACGGATTGTCACCAACGAGCACCAGTTGGGAAGGTAGTCCAGCACTAGCTAGTTATGTTATAGAGCAGGTGCGACCGCCCGCGCACACTCCGCGCACGCTCCGCCTGACGAGTGCGTGCGGCGGCCTGTACACATCTACATCTAGATAAAAAATTAGAATGCCGATGCATTACTACTTCTGACGATTAAGATGGAATGCTGTGTTTCCAGTAAAAAGAGGCTCCGCTTCTTTTCACTCATACGAAACACATTAAACTGCTATTTCAAGTTGGTATTCTCTGTGAGAGAGTGGTCCTTTCGCGGTCGAGCCGACCCATTCGAGCCCCAACCAAAATATAGCTGCAGTAGGGCTCTACCACATAAAAGCTGAGAAGCGGTTGACAGGTGGGCCAACCCTGAAACTTCCCCCTTTTTTTCGAAATCGAAACACACTAAAATCTTCCAATTGGTTGATTTATGAGCTCTCTGAGTTAAAAAATTTAAAAGTTATATAATACAAACAATTTAAAAAAAATGAAATGGCGATAACTTTTGAAGTTGATTTACTTGACGTTATTCGACGCAGTTTTATAAGTGCAAAAAATGTTTGTGAGGCATTGAGTCGATAGATCGAGGAATTTAAAAGTTATCTAAAAAAAACTATTATTCAAAAACTTTTAAATAGCTATAATTTTGAACAAATTGTTCGATTTTGACTTACTTGGCGGCATCCGTCGCAGTTTTTCAAGTACACAAAAATGTCTTTATGTCTGGACTTGATTAGTCAAATATTTTGAAAGTTATTTGGAAAAACTTGAAAATAATGTTTTTTGGTTTCTATTTTTTTATATCTTTAAAACGGCTCGACCAACTTCAAAATGTAATCAAGTCGAAGTCTCAATGAATACTTCCGATCGCCGTATCGCTCGTCTCGATCGGTTGATTCGTTCTAAAATTATCGTACGACACAATTTCATTTACACACACTTCCGTTTTTTATTTCTTATTAATACTGTCTATTTAATCTTTATTTTAAAGATGTTTTTAAAAAAACTATTTTCATAATATTTTTACTGTTATTTTCAGAGATTTACGAATACTAATATTATGTCACGTTATATGATATATAAATCCAAATATTATATCATACTTAACTATTAATGTACAAATACAAATTAATTTAATTAAGATACCTAGAATTTTTATTCACTAGTTTTATCATTTCATGAGTTTCTAATAATTATTCAGCAAATCAATCTATTTTTTTATTTTTATGTAAAGGCTGGCTATTTACAATTGTAGAAACTTTATATTGTCTGTATTTAATCTATATTGGGTTATTTTGCAATTAATAATGGCCAAATATGCCGAGAAAGTTTAGAATAAGTAATATAGGCAAATGGTGAAGAAATTGTCCTTTTTATCTTTTATTTTACATTTATTATTAATAAAATCAGTTAAAATAATATTTATTTTATTATTTTAACTGATTTTACTGCGCACACATACATTCATACATTCATAAAGGTCGATCGGTAGGTAAAAAAGTTGTTGCCCATAAATCACATTCAATTTGGGATAGTTTGAAATAGAAGTATACTCGTATTTTCAAAAACTGCAATAACGGTATATCATTATTTGTATATAGTTGAACTTAAGATGAAAATTTGGCCATTTTGAATAGTCTTGTATATTGTATTAAAATTATATACTGTCTGTATTTAAAGCGTATATTGTCTGTTTTAAAACTATAAACTGTATGCATTCTAAATAGTGTATGTATTTGCAGCGGCAGCAGCAGCAACAGCAGCAACAACAGCAGCAGCAGCAAGTGGGCGAGCTAAGTGCAGCGCTGGGCGTGGGACACTCGGCCGCGGACCGCGAGCTGCTGCAGCGCCCAGAAGCACAAGCCATCATACACGGTCACTACCATTATCATTACAGCGTATCAAACGTCCACTGTTTACCTTGGGTCTCCCACTTGGATTGCCTCTTGTGGGGTTATTTGGCGTAATTGACCCGCTCGTCAAGCACCTTGGAAACGGTAGTTTTTGAAGTGAAATCTTTTTAGAATCGTCGTGATTTGGAACCTCGCGGGGCGGACGCCAGTTCGGCTTCGTCCCGAGTGTGTCGACTCCACTGTTTGTCAAAATATAATATAGATGAAGAAGATTTATTTTTGATTGACTGGTAACTTCTTACATTAAATGGCAACAGCTACGAGTGAAAAATGTATTTAATTAAATTAATTTAACCAGAGAAAATGTAGGAGAATTTCTAAGACTGTATGTAAAATAGAGAGTGCTACCACAATAATTTTAAAGTATACAAGAATTTCAATATATACGTTAAACTATATACTCGTATATTAACACTTTGACAGCCGATCACGACCCTGTGTCGTGACGGAGCAAAACTACCGCGTCATCAGAATTCCTTGAATTTATTCTAAAAATTCAAGGAAATAACGGGGTCGGCGTTAGCTGCATTGTGTAGCTACATTGTTTAGTTACACACACATAGGATTCATTTACGTAAGGAGGTTCGGAGGGGTGCAAGGGGAGAGATTGCGAGGAAAGTCACACGAGTCTGCAAGATTTGCGCGGACACTATAAAAAAACAGACAGGCAAACGGGGAAGGAAGGAAACTTCGTTTTACTGTTCAGAATGTAATGTTCCACTCTGTCACTATCCTTGCTTTGAAAAGTATCATACTAAGAAAGATTTCATGGTGTAGGACTAAAGAAAAGCACGTATTCGCGGACTTTTTTTTGTAGAAAATAGTTATTAATGTTTTGATTTTCTAAACAAAATAAAGTTAATAAACTTTGTTTTATTTTTTATTGTAAAAACAAATTAGTTATTCTAGCATATACCAAAAGAATTAAATGTATTACTTTTTTAGTTCTTTTTATATAAAACTTACAAAAATGCCGTAAATGGCCGGCGTACAGGGGAATGCGCGTTACAAAATTCTTGGCTGTCGAAGTGTTAAAAAAATTGTCTTATAAATAATAGTCGTAGGTTTATTTGGGAACAGTGAATTAGAACGCGCGCTTGTGAAGAGGGTTGAGATCCCCGGTCCTATTGCGGTCTCCGCTGGCCGCTGGGCGGGCTGGGCAGCATTGCCAACCAGGGACTGTAATACCGATATTTTGCAAGTATCGATATCGGGTTATCGATATAAGTACTGATATTGCGGTATCGATTTATCGATATTGGTATCAATATTTGATTTCAGTACAAAAATATCGATACTTATCGGTCAGTTTATCGGTATTGATACTGATACCAATATATCGATACAATAAAAATAAATTCCTCGTTCTCGCGTCTTATTTACTCTCTCTAACATCAACGGTCATAGATAAGGTACGCGGTCATACGTAAGTACGTTCTGTTTGCGTGTGTTCAAATTGTTTAACGCGTATTATTATTTTTATATACGTATATTTATTTTTAAGTAATTGATGTGATTCCTGTTCAAACAAGTGATTATTCTTCAAGCAAGATGTCTGGTTTGTATCTTTAATTTATCTTTAACTAGCTTTTCGCCTGTATCTTCGTCCGCGTGAATTACAGTTCAATTGCGTAACTTTTATCATCTTAAAGAAACTTTTTTTTTCAGGATAAAAAGTAGGCCATGTCCTTTTCCGTATCCCTGAATATGCTAGGTGTTACAAAAAGGGTATACATCCGAAGGGAGGTAAATCTACTCATGAAACTGAACAACTTTCTCCAAAGAAACACATACTTATCAAAATCCGAAAAAAATTCAATCACCTATACAAATTGTCTGGTCACGTGCCCAATTTTGTATATGGGAAAAAATATCAAAAAAATTTTTCGGATTTATAAGTACCCTTTTTGTAACATCCAGTATGTAATACAAGGAAGATCGGCTTGATAGTGGGGAAGGCCAGTGGGGATTTCCGGAATAACCCGAAATATAATTGGGTAACATTAATTACTACCCTATACTATATTAACTATATTATACATAATATACGATATATTATACAAAAAAATAAAATTGAAGTGTCTATTTGTAATTTCAAAATTACAGCTTTTTACCAAATACATATGAAAGTATATACTGTACTAATAACAAAAATACAATTTTTAAAGTTTTTGTCTGTCCGTCTGTTTGTTCCGGCTAATCTCAGAAACGGCTGGACCGATTTTGACGAGATTGTCACTGGCAGATAGCTAATGTCACAAGGAGTAACTTAGGCTATTTTTATTTTAGAAAAACAATTAGGGTCCCGTGCAAAAAAATTAAAAGCCCAAATAACACGCGGGTGAAGTCGCGGGGGAACAGCTAGTTATATCATATTATCATATATTTTATTTATTTAAGTAAATCACAGATTTGTTTTGTGTTCACCTTAACTTAAAAATCATGACTTTTACTGAAGTTGCTTATATTAAAAACGCCGACTACCTCTGTGGTCAACCAGGGTAAACCCCGATTTTCAAGGTGTCGCCGCTCTGAGGTTCCGGGTTCGATTCTCGGTAGGGTGAAGTTTAGAAAAACTACTTCTCTCAATTTTTCTTTAGTCTGGGTATTGCTGGAAGACGCCCCCAGTGTATCCGTTGTTCGGTACCTCTAATAACGACGTTCTTCGAAACCTCTTTGAGACCGACAATGTGTATGTTGTCAGGCGCATTTATTAGTATTTGATTAAAACACCAGTTCAATTGACATAACAAACTTTTTTGCAGGCATGAAAAGGAAACTATTACCCATTGTTTTTGACTCGGAAGACACTAAAATGTCCCAAAGTATTTTGAAATCGACAAATTACTATGGAAAATTGACAAAAGTATCGGAAACGAATAAACCTATTCCAGTATACGAACCAGAAGATAATGAAGAACGAGAATATACCAGAAGATATACGAGTAAAAGAACCGTTGTCACAGAGTTTTACGCCGCCGAAAAATGAAATACTGGATTCGTCAATAAATCAATTAGGATCTTCACCTTTAAAGCATAATTCTGAGGAAACAGTGGACTGTGACTCACCTCCGGAACATGATTGTGAAAATAAATTGTCATCGGCGCACCAAATTCCAAATTCCGTTTGCCCAGATTGCGTACAATGCGAAATAGTGGACAAAAGAAATTATCATTTTTGCCAAGTACTGATGACAAAGTTGCAATTTTTACACCCTTGTATGAGAACTGTTGCCTATCGCCATATTTTAAAAATTGTAGATGGACTAAAAGGGAGCCATAGTAAGGACAACATAAAAGTCATCCACGTCAAACCTGGAAATCTTAATTAAAACAATTATGTTGTTAAAGAGTGTTATTAAACACTTCAGGAATACTTCTGCAGTCGTACCGCATAAGGATTTTAACAATTTGCGATCAACGGATATGTCAGAGTATCGCTTACAGCTAGTACAAGTTAGAAAGTGATAGACTATCATTGGCGTTTTCGCCAAAGTGCTAAAAATGCTTACGCGCTACGACTGCTGAACATAACTTTTGAAAAGGCAAATTTTTTAAATAAAATTGTAAATGAAACAAAGTGTTTTAGTATATTTTGACATTTATTGGTACTATTCATCTCAAAAATTTGACAAAAATTCAAAACGTCAACAAAGAATCCATATAATGACGGAAACTTTTTGGAATTCATTAAATAATTAATGAATTCCAAAAAGTTTCCGTCAGGTGTAAGCTGGAATCAACGGAATTTTCACAAATTTCTTTGAGGTCTATTAATCTCTGAATCATATCCACAGTTGAATTTCATCTTGTAGGACTATCAAGAATAGCTTGATTTTTTCCCGATTTGGATATAATATTAGAGTGTATTTGTGTCCGTAACTTTTTAGCATTTTGTCGAGCATCGTCAATCACTTGCTTAATATCAGCACCATCGCAAGCATCTAGTACAGCTAATTGTAATGTATGTGCAGCGCATCTTACTACTGCTATACTTCTCTGCTGAGTTGTATTTTCATGACAGTGCATTGACAGTGCTGAGGTAATGGTTTCAGTGAATTGCTCTTCTCTTTCGGTGTCAAATCCCGTGTCACCGTCATAATAATCAGTGTCCGAATCCGAATACGCTGAGTGATTTTCAATATCAACTGTGGAGATCATCATGGAATCCAAACTTTGACCTTCAAAGACGACAGCGTCTTCCATTTCAGTATTTGCGTTTGCACTTTCTTCGCGAACAGCATCAGCAGAAACGTTTCGATTTTCTTCGTTGATTAATCTACTCATCTTTATCATATTTGATCCATTATCAGTTGTGAAACTGTATATGTTTTCTAGACCAATTCGGAATCGTTGAAGAACATCCAAAACTTGGTATTTCAAATGCTCTGAAGTATGTCTTTCAAAAAGTTCAATCATGGCCAAATGTTTTAATATAATATCTCCATTTTCTATGTATTGAGCATTTATTCCCATAAAGCTTCTCAAAGAAAGTGATGCAATGTCTATTTTTATGCAAATCATTTTGTTCTGGAGTTGTTTGGCTAAATCATACCGTAATGTTGCAGCAGTTTCTATGACGTTGCTTCTAATAGTTGGAGAACTCACTTTTATATTGCAGTCAGGTATTAAAGATAAAATATTTTGGAATGCTTCATAATTGAGAAGTGACAGAGGGAGCCCATGATTACAAATAAGTTTCGTACACTCTCTGGTAACAATTTCAGAATTAGGTGTCAATTTTTTTGTATCCCTTTGTTTCATATTAATTTCTTGTACTTCTTTATACTCTTTTTTATGTATTTTAAGATGTTTAAGAAGATTGGAACTGTTGATACTCTGTAACAGAGAAGACAACATGAAATGAGGATAAAGTTAACTTTTCCAAGAAAAGACAAATAAAGGTAGTATTTGTGGAATATGAGATGTACCTAACATTCATATTATTTAAAAGCCTAGTAATAATAGTTAATAAGCATTTATTTTGACACTTCGGAAATCCCTACCAGCCTTCCCCACTGTTGGGATTTAATCCCCTACTAATATGAAATTAATTAATTTTGTATCGTTTTTTAAACCTTAATATATTAAAATTAATTTTTCATACTAATAGTTAGTGGGGCTTGAAATCCCCACCAGTGGGAAAAGCCTGTGGAGATTTTCGGAATAACCCTTGTTAGACAATGTATTTCTTAAAAAAATATTTTTCAAAAACGTTTTCAACACTAACAAACTAAGCAACTTTAATTACTTAAAATTTAACATTTTAAAATTTAATATATTACATACAGTCATTTTAGGTACTATATATTTTTTATAAAGAAATAGGCATTTCTTAAAAGTATTTTATACACAAATTTGGGTAAACAATAATTATGTGAACGACTCAGTGAGTTTCATGCTATAATTTATAGTACAGTGTAATAAAAGTTTCTGAAGATTAGTGTATTTTTCGTATAAATCTACAAGAAATAATATAAAGTAAGGCCAATCTTGTTTAGCGGCTCACGTAGGTAACTCCTTGTCACTTTCCTAAGTAAGTACAGAATACATAATAGTACAGGTATAGGCATAAGAACCTACAAAGAAAAAATACCTACATAGGTATTTTTTCTAGCTTATGTAAAAAATGCATCGTATGTAACAAAAGGTTATCTCCATCGTGAAGTGATGGTAAGCGCAAGTACTTACATCGAGTGACAGAGGCCTGGTATTATCTACTATTTTGAAAATAACTCTAAATGTGTACCTACTTTAATAAGAAACTATATTTTACTTACATTCCCCAAACGTTTATTTAACTTAACATTCCACGAACTATTTTACTTACTGGGTCGTGTGCTCGTGTGCACTACTTCCTCCAAATTACATCGCAAGAGGCGACCTACTTTTAATCTAGGTATAACATGCAAATTTTAGAATTTCTGAAGTTTTTCTAAGTAACCAATAGTATTTAGTATTTAATTTATCAGATGAAATGAATACCTAATGTGAGAATTTTATTAGGAAGGTAGGTAGGTAATAGGTATGTATGTATGTAGACTAGTACTTAAATAACAGTTTAAATATACATAACACAATAGCAGATGATTCGAAGAATTTAACTAAAATAGTTGTAGGTACCTATTGATTATAAAACATTTATCTACCCACTTACAGATTTATGTTAAAACAACGTAAACAGACTGACATTAATTAATATAAAATCATTAAAATATTTTACAAATAATAAATACCTATATAAGACCTAGTTTACTTAAATTTCAATTATAAGGTATAGGTACATAATTTATTGTATTAATAATTTGTACGCTAGACGAAAATCAGATTTATTTATATGTATTTTCCATCAAATCATCTTAGTTTTTATTGATAAGTAGCTATGTAATGTAATGTGTAAGTATAACAAATTGAAACGAAGTAGGTAGGTACTTACATTTAAGTGCTTGTTGCAAATCACGCACTTAGATTTTGATTTAGTTTTTTCAACCTCGAAGTATCTGTAGACGTGATTTTCTTTCTTTCGTCCCATCTCTTTCTGTAGGTATCAAATTTTTTAAATAATCTTATTAAAAAAACAATCACTAGATAAGCACTGATGCGTTTACAACTCCGCTCGTTTTCTTTGCGTTTGTGCGCCAACTACTTGCTCGCTCAACGCAGCGTTGCCGCGACACGTGCTGCGAAGTCTGGCAACGTCGCACAGTCATCATAAGTATCGATACCCGATATCGATAAAGGTATCGATATTTTTATACCGGTATAACACATATCAGTACCAAATACTGATAATTAATTGAGTTATCAATACCAATATCGATATTATTAGAGAAGTATCGGTATTTTCAAAATATCGATATCAGTCCCTGTTGCCAACCCCTAAAAAGAAACAAACATATACATCGTTTTACATTGTTTCAACCACAAAATGAGATATACAGTGTTCTTCTGAAGGTATCACTTTTCCCGCGTGTAACTCATGTTTTTTTTTAAATGATTTGACTTAATTTTTGAATATTTTGAGAAAAAAACTCCGGCCTATCTGTTTAATTTCCCTCTGTCGCCTCTTATGACGCCCGCGAAACGATATGGTGTAGTGGATATTGCTACACCGCCACTACACGGTTTATATGACAGCTTCCACAGTTAAAACACACAATAACAAACATCTCCTCGCGTGTTAATACGGGTAACGAACCGTTGGCAAGTTATTTTGTAAACTGTAAAGCAATTATCAAAACCGACACATACTCGTAAATCACCATGAATATTGATGTACATCACTGTTCTATATATGGACTGGCTATACACTGTGAGATAATGAGACTATTTGATTTTCGCCATTTTGGAGCTGACAGCAGAAGTGAACGTCCACAGCATGGAGGTTAGAGAACAGGAGAACGATCGCCGTAGAAAATAGTGTCCCAGAAATATGGACACCATAAGTGAGGCGCTGCGATCACTAAGTGCAGTCAATAAAAGTCATTTTCAGTCTATTTTTCCGATCAGATGCTCAACCACTTGCACATCCACGCACAATAAAATATTTCTCCATTTTTTAATGTTTCTTTTTGTCAAAAATTACAAAATTACGGAGCATGAAAATTTTCTCATTAAAAATGAAATAAAAATTTGTACATTATTCAACTAACTTCACCTACTTGTACTCATAAACAGCTAACTTCGCAGTCACTACTCACAGACGTCAGCGCCGCTATGTATTCTACAATTTTCAAGGACAGGCGGGCTATGATTTAGTACGTAGCGATCGTTCTCCTGTTCTTTAACCTTCATGTTGCAGATGTACAGAGAGGAGCTACTTGTCACCTGAACTCACGCAAACTTACTAAGGACATTAAATAATAATAATAATTTTGTAATCCTAATATAAATTTTTCCTGGGTATAATAAATTGGTCATATTTAAACGATTTAACAAATTTACGTCATGTAAACACAAAGTCATCATCAAGTGACTTTGTTTACATGACGTGTTTACATGACGCTTTACACTTGGCAATGACCCTTGAGTTTGGGTGAAAATGGTAAGAGAAGAAATTAAAAAAAAAACATTCGAAATAATAATACTGTTTATACTTACCTGTAAGTTAAAAAAAGTAAAGTTACAGCCTATATACGTCCCACTGCTGGGCACAGGCCTCCCCTCATTTCTGAGAGGGTTTTAGGGCAAGGAAGTGTCCGCCGCGCTGCCCCAATACGTGTTGGCGAACTTCACATGTCTTCGAATTTTTTTTTCTTATTTCTCGGACATGCAGGTTTCCTCACGATGTTTTCCTTCACCGCCGAGCACGTGGTAAATCAGCACTTAAAATTGCAATTAACAATTTCATTGGTGCCGGCGGGGATCGAACCCGGTTTGCTCGCGTACTGTGAAATTTACAGCGAGCGCCAACCATTTGAGCTACCACGGCTCACACCTACATACCTATACTTACCGGTACTGGTATAAAATAATGTCGGTATACTGCACTTTTTCAAAGTGGTGCGTTTCTAATGTCTAATAAAACAGTCGTCTTTGAAATGTTTAGAACAAAGATAATCATTTTGTTTGACGCCAATTTACAATTTTTATGCTTTAAGTCATAATTTTAGTCTAGTTTCAGTTGGACACCTGTTAATTAGTAAACAATTTATAATTGTCTGTTGTCGGCGACTTTAGTTGTCAACAGATATGGGTTGGAAAGAACATCGATTAGTATTATAGACAAGGAACCCGACAACCCTACTGAATTTTATTTTTTATCAAAACTCGGTAATATAAATCCAAACATGTTGGTAATTACACTATTAAGATAAGTAACAAATGTTTAAGTACCTATATTATCAAATAGTTTAATATTAGCTGTAAATTCCCTTACTTGTGGAATGTTATACCACTTTCCTTTTGGTAATGAGTTTTACATTATACGCACGCTCTTATTAATACTAAATATAATTCTTATTATATGTCAGATAATACCGGCCTTATATTGAGCTTCTTCCACTGAAACATCTAGAATGTTCGAGTACACACCGGTCCCGACTGACTAGGTGTAGAAAGTTCTGGCATGGAAATCTATAAGGATCTTGACTCCTGGTTCTGCTACTCGATACTAGATGGCGCTAGAGGTAACTCGCCATGTACCAGGCATTAATGATGGCGCGCAACAATATTTTTGTTATTGTTAAAAATCGTTCCTGTAGATATCACATCTTTATGTACAATGGTCAGAAATTTTCGCAATTTAATAGGGACTTTTACAACAATGTGATTCTTATTAACTATGATACTATAGAAGTCTCAGATGAAACAAGTCGTTAGTGTTGTGAAAATAATATTAGTTGGATTGAATTTATGTTCAAATAATCCTTACCGAAGTTGAAGAATACCTTTATCAAATACCAGCCAGCTACCTTCCCCTGGCCTGTGTGTATATATATACAGGGTGTTAGTGTAAACACCGTTGTCCTTGAAACCAGTGGTTTGATTTCACTTATAGAACGTAAATTCAATTAATTTAAAAAAAACGCTATTTTATTTCATAAAATTTAAAAAGTTTCTGTCCGACACCGCCCGTAAATTCATGGATACCTTATGCGCCCGAGTGACGTAATCACTGTAAAAATCACCGCCCGCGCTAGCTAACTACACAATATTCAACATAAAAACACAATAGGTACACATAACCTGTGATGTAACTTTCCTTCATACTTTAATCCTGGCTTAGGACAGGCAAAAATTGAGGAATTAAGGAAAAATTGAGATTTTACTAAAAAAAATGTTGTTATTTTGCATGGAATTTACGTTCTATAAGTGAAACCAAACCACTGGTTTCAAGGACAACGGTGTTTACACTAACAACTTGTATATAAAAGTTTGAACATGTTATAAAAGTTTGTTGTGTACGTTTGTAGGGTTAAAGGCGGGCGAGATCACAGTACAGCACGTGCTGCAGCAGCTGGGTAACCCGGGGCTGCAGAGCCGCCACCGCGAGCTGCTGCTCACGGTGCTGCGCTTGCACCAGCACCACCACCATCACCAGCAGCACCACCAGCAACAGCGTCAGGTACCTACCCACTCCTCACTCCACATCGATACTATGACTTTCTATATCATCGAATCTTGTAGTAAAGGCCCTTTGTATTCTTTTGTTTAAGGATGCAATAAAGAAATAAATAAATAAATAAATTCCGGATTCATCCGTTCATTCACTCATTACAGCCTTTCACAAGTCCACCGCTGATTATAGACAAAGGAATGTCATAAAGTACGGTCCCGAGCCACGTGCATCAATCGACTTCCTGCGCATGTCTTACTTGGTCTCACTCCATCTGGTGGAGGGCCACTTTGTACTTCTTCTACCGGTACGAGGCTGCTACTCGAGAACCTTTCTTTCCATCGGTTGTCTGTTTTTCGAACTATATGGCCCCCTCACGCAATAAAGAATATGTTAATTTTATGTTCACAAACAGTTTTGATTTGATTAGCCTTGATTGCAATAGATTGATGAATACGTATTGGGTTGCAGCAACAGATGGGCGGGTCCCCACTGCCGGGCGCGCACCTGGCGCTGCCGCAGCAGCAGCCGTTGCGCCTCTCCCCTCTGCCACACCCCGGTCAGTCTCCACCAGATCACACCGACCTCACTACACATCACACCGTCCTCATCACACACCACACCGTCCTCACCACACAACACCGTCCTCACCACAACAACGTACTCACCACACAACTCCGTCCTCACCACACAACAACGTACTCACCACACAACACCGTCCTCACCACACAACGACGTACTCACCACACAACACCGTCCTCACCACACAACAACGTACTCACCACACAACACCGTCCTCACCACACACCTCCCCACAACGCGTACTCACCACACAACACCTTCCTCACCTCACAACAACGTACTCCCCACACAACACCGTCCTCACCACACAACGACGTACTCACCACACAACACCGTCCTCACCACACAACAACCTACTCACCACACACCACCATCCTCACCACACAACGACGTACTCACCACACAACACCGTCCTCACCACACAACAACGTACTCACCACACAACAACGTACTCACCACACAACACCGTCCTCACCACACAACAACGTACACACAACACCGTCCTCATCACACAAGAACGTACTCACCACACAACACCGTCCTCACCACACAACAACCTACTCACCACATACCACCATCCTCACCACACAACGACGTACTCACCACACAACACCGTCCTCACCACACAACAACGTACTCAGCACATAACACCGTCCTCACCACACAACAACGTACACACAACACCGTCCTCACCACACAAGAAAGTACTCACCACACAACACCGTCCTCACCACACAACAACGTACTCACCACACAACACCGTCCTCACCACACAACAACGTACTCACCACACAACACCGTCCTCACCACACAACGACGTACTCACCACACAACAACGTACTCACCACACAACACCGTCCTCACCACACAACAACGTACTCACCACACAACACCGTCCTCACCACACAACAACGTACTCACCACACAACACCGTCCTCACCACACAACGACGTACTCACCACACAACACCGTCCTCACCACACAACAACCTACTCACCACACACCACCATCCTCACCACACAACGACGTACTCACCACACAACACCGTCCTCACCACACAACGACGTACTCACCACACAACACCGCCCTCACCACACAACAACCTACTCACCACCCATACAACACCGTCCTCACCATACAACAACGTACTCACCACACACCACCGTCCTCACCACACAACACCGTCCTCACCACACAACAACGTACTCACCACACAACACCGTCCTCACCACACAACAACGTACTCACCACCCATACAACACCGTCCTCACCATACAACAACGTACTCACCACACACCACCGTCCTCACCACACAACACCGTCCTCACCACACAACAACGTACTCACCGCACAACACCATCTTCAGCCAGTGGCGAAGCTAGAGCTCCAAGCTAGGGCAAACCCAAGATATAAATTGATAAAAATATAGATTATTGTTTTTAGCAGTTTTATAAAAATACACCAATCTTGATCTGTCTCCACGCTTCAGTTTCATATTCAGTGCTGTCAAGGACGTGTTTAACAAAGCACACAGAAGGCATACCACTGCTAGATAGATTGTATTACATATCAGCAATTGCATAGCTTCGGTGGCTTTGAAGAAAGCCGTTTGGGTTTGTTTAAGCGAAAGAAAAAAAATATTTACATCCAATACAATACATGAACAAAAGTAAAACACGAACAAAGTACAAACAAACTATGTACAAAATTAAAAAAAAAAATATTTACATTCTAATGGATAAGAGATAAGATAAGATTAGTGGAATCGTCTCGCTTTCTTATGGAAAGATTTAATTACGTTCACGTAAAATGTTGGTGAACGTTTTAATTGTACCAATAACTGTTTTTAATTGCGATAATTGATAAGTCTGAAATACTCTCTTAACCTTGTGTATTATCTCAACAAAGTTTAAAGATTTCCTCTCCGATTATCACTTTAACACTCTTCAATGCATCACAAGGAACGCTATTGTCCTCCATTTTCATTAAAAATCTTTAAAAAAGCATAAATTTTGAACTCGTAATATTAAATCGCTTAAGATAAGCACACAGAGTAAATAAACATTGAAACGTGAAATGAACTTGCAAACGCCATTTGCCAAACTTGCCCGCGTGCCTCCGCTTTTAACAAATTTATTCCCAAAAGCCTGGCTTTAAATCTCTATACTAATTGCTATATATACAATCGTAGTTATATTTCATTATAGAATATTTTGCCATAGGTTAGAAAGAGAGCGATCGTCTTCTCGAAAGCCCCGTAAAAATCCCACGCGAGCGAGGGAGACAACTATTAGCTCTATTAAAACTCATTTTTTATGACAGCAGCAGTATCGCTAAGGCAATACGAGGTCATCGGTCGACATGTGTCGAACAGTGGAGTGCGTGGGAAATTTGAAATAGCTTGAAACATTTTACGAGTTATTTTATTAGTTGATATTATTGATTGATATTATTGATTGATTCAGGTTAATAAGGCAAGCCCGGCTTTTCGGCTTTAATGGAAGCTTCGCCACTGTCCCCACCACACAACAACGTACTCACCACATCACACCGTACTCACCACACAACAACGTCCTCACCACGCACCACACCGCTGATTCTCGCTGCCCGCGCACTCACCGCGCGCTCCTGGTTTGCCTGTAACGCGTTTGTGATCATTTAATTTCAATAAAGTAACTAACTTTAAGGGACAAAAGACAGGGGAGAAAAATGATATTTGATGTTTATAATTATTTAAAAAAAAATTTAACTGATTCTTTGAATAAAACTGCGGAAGCTACGAAAATGTCTGTATCTGTCCACAGTTAAAAAAAGTCTTCGCCACGTTATTAAAGAACTCGGATTTAAATGGAAAGCCATCGAGAATGATAGGAAAGTTTTAATAGAAACATCAGCTATCAGATTCATCATCATCATCATCATCATTACAGCCCTTCACAAGTCCACTGCTGAACATAGGCCTCCCCCAAGTAATGCCACAAAGCACGGTCCTGAGCCACCTTGCATCCATCGACTTCCTGCATGTCTTACCAGGTCGTCACTCCATCTAGTGGGGGGTCGCCCTACACTACGCCTACCGGTACGAGGCTGCCACTCGAGAACCTTTCTTCCCCATCGGTTATCGGTTCTTCGAGCTATATGGCCGGCCCATTGCCACTTCAGCTTACTAATCCGTTGGGCTATGTCGGTCACTCTGGTTTTACTGCGGATATCCTCATTTCTGAGTCTATCACGCAGAGAAACTCCGAGCATAGCCCTCTCCATAGCTCGCTGAGCGACCTTGAGCGACCTCATACGGCCAGCAGTGAAGGACCACGTCTCTGATCCGTAAGTCATCACTGGCAATACGCACTGGTTGTACACTTTAGTTTTCAGAGATTGAGGTACACCTGACGAGAAGATATGTCGTAATTTCCCGAACGCTGCCCAGCCGAGTTGAATCCGTCGATTGACCTCTCGGTCGAAGTTGGACTTACCTAGTCGGACTATTTGTCCCAGGTAAACGTACTCGTCAACAACTTCGAGCATAGTGCTCCCAACAACTACCGGCATAGGTGAGACATGGACATTAAACATGATCTTTGTTTTGTCCATGTTCATCTTAAGACCTATCGGTTGAGAGACACCTTCGAGGTCATTGAGCATAGTGCTAAGGTCCTCCAGCGATTCTGCCATAAGGACTATATCGTCGGCAAATCGAAGGTGAGTGATGTACTCGCCATTGATGTTAATACCGTATCCTTTCCAGTCCAGTAGCTTGAAAACGTCTTCCAATGCAGCGGTGAAAAGTTTCGGGGATATAACATCACCCTGTCTTACACCTCTCTGCAGTTGGATAGGTTTCGAGCTCTGATTCTGTACTCAGATAGCCATCGTAGCCCTACTGTACAAACACTTCAGCACTTCGATATACCGACAGTCAACTTGGCACCGCTGAAGGGACTGTAGCCCCGCCCAAATTTCGACGGAATCAAAGGCTTTCTCATAGTCCACATACGCCAGGCAAAGTGGCAGATTGTACTCTTCAGTCTTCTGTACAATCTGCCGCAGGGTATGTATGTGGTCTATGGTACTGAAGCCTTTTCGGAAACCGGCTTGTTCGGGAGGCTGGAAGTCGTCGAGTCTGCGTGCGAGATGATTCGTAATGACTATCGAAAACAGCACGTAGACGCGGCTCAGAAGGGAAATCGGTCTGTAGTTCTTCAAGAGAGCGTTGTGTCGCCTTTCTTAAAGAACAAGACCACCGCACTTCTGCTCCACGCCTCCGGAGTAGTGCCACCATGGAGGACGGAATTGAAGAGTTCTGAAGGACTTCAAGTACCGGTGTTCCACCCGCTTTCAGAAGCTCCGCTGTAATTCCATCCTCGCCTGTGGCCCGGCCGTTTTTAAGGTGCTGGAGAGCCATTCTAATCTCGCTCAGACTGACGTCCGGGATATCATCAGAATAGTGTCGGGTAAGACTTGCTCTTGGATCGTAACTCACACTTGCGTGTGGCTCCAACGATGATATGTACAGCTGCCCATAGAACCTCTAAATCTCACTGAAAATCTCAGGTGTCTCGGAAACGATGCTGCCACACACTCAGTCTTCAGCTTTGACAGTTGGCTCTTTCTGGCAGACAGATCTATGGCAAAGACTTTGGAGCCCTGGTTCCGCTCGATCGCTTCTTTAATACGAGCAGTATTAAAGTTGCGTGAGTCTCGCCGCATGCATTTGGAGATCTGTCTGTTCAGTTGCCTGTATGCTGTCAAATCTGTTGACGATTGCAGCCTCATCTCCCGTCTAACAGCCATGAGATTAAGAGTGTGATCGGAGAGTTTTTGTGTTCTTCTGCGGCGGGTCTTGCAGAACTTAGCTCCGACCGCATGGACAGTTTCCACGAGCTTGTCATTCATATCGTCCACTGCATTGCAATCTTGTAGGCACTGAAAGCGGTTACGTAACTCGAGCTGAAAAGTCTCGGGATTCTGGATCAG